TCGATGCTCTGCAGGGGCGTGAGCTCCCATCCGGCTCAGCAAGGAGCCGGTGTCTCAGACCTGAGCCGAGCATGAGCCAGCTCTCTGCGCTCCGACTCTATGCTCTGCCCCCTGACTCTGTGCTCTGCCCCCCGACTCTGTGCCCTGCCCCCGACTCTGTGCCCTGCCCCCCGACTCTGTGCTCTGCCCCGCAGCTCCTGGAAGCCATCGAGCAGGGCGGCGGGCAGCGGCGGCGGCGACAGTTGGAGCGGACCAAGCCCTATGTGGCCGCCCAGGTGGACGTGCTTCCTGAGACCTTCACCCTGGGGGACAAGAAGAACTACCAGGGCTTCTACAACCGGCCCCTGTCTCCGGACCTGAGCTACCAGAGCTTTGTGCTCGCCTCCCTGAAGGAGCCTGTGGACCAGGTCTGCCTGAGCCGGCATAGCCATGCACAGCCCCAGACACCCACCAGCCCAGGTTTAGTGAGCCCAGAGTCAGGCGCCCAGAGTCCCCAGGCCAGCCCCTGAGGCTGAGTGCACACAGGGTGGGAGGGGGTGTCGCCCCGAGCTCAGAGCACGCCCCGTCTCTCTGGGCCACAGAAGCGCTATGCCTCCAGTCCCTACTCGGATGAGATTGTGGTCCAGGTGACACCAGCCCAGCAGCAAGAGGAGCCCGAGATGCTATGGGTGACAGGCCCGGTCCTGGCGGTCATCCTCATCATCCTTATTGTCATCGCCATCCTCCTGTTCAAGAGGTGAGTGCTGAGCCCCGGGCTCTGGGGGCCACTGGCCCTGCCGGGCCCCAAGTTCAGAGGGAAGCCAGGAGGAGCAGAAGCAGTGCAGGCTCCCCACGTGTGTTGGTGTGCTCGTGTCTGCACACACGTGTCTGTCTGGTAGGAGACCCCAGTGGGTGCTCCCTTGGATGTGCAGTGGAGCTACTCCGGGGCCGGTCCACGCGCATCCTGGATGTGTGTGTGTGTGTGTGTGTGTGCGTTTCAGTGCGTGCGAGTGTGTTTGTCTTCGTCAGCTCCCAGACACCAACTGGTCACCTGTAGGAGGCATCTTCTGCCACCATTCCTAGGTGACCTCTAGAGAGGTTTAGGTCCCCTGCTCATGGACACTCGCTGGGCACCCGGTGTGAGCACAGCTGCCCAGGTTTCAGCCCTCTTCTCTCCTGTCCCCATCACAACCACCGGGGCCCGATCCACCAGGCTACCAGTCCTCACCCTCCACCTCTGCGCAGCCTCCTCGTGGGTTTCCCAGGGCCAAGGTCGAGCCGTGCAGGCCTAGCTGAGGACCCCAACACCTCCAGTCTCAGTCCTCCCACCCTTGGAGTCTCCAACCTCCTCCCAGTCCGAGAGTCGTGATTAAAAGGTGGTGTTCCTCTGCTGAAAACCGCTCGGTGGATCCCAAGATAGAGCCTGGTTCTTCTGGCCTGACCACCAAGTGTTGGCACTCAGGTGGATGTCATGCTCTGTGCCTGGGCCCGCCTGCTCTGCCACTCATCTTGTGCCTGCCCACCCGGCACCTACCGCCTCCTTCCAGACTCCAGAGGCCAGTACCCCCGAGGCCTGCTCATCCCCACCCCATCCTCCATCTGCCCCACCGCACCAGGCTGGGCCCCTGAAACACCTCAGTGGCCGCTTGTCAGGCAGATGTGTCATTCCGTGTGTCTGGGTGATCCTTCATGTGTCTGTCTGTCTGTCTGGCGTGCGTGTCTGTGTTTGTCTGTCTGTCTGTCTGTCGTGTGTGCGCGTGCGTGCGTGCGTGTGTCTGAGAGCCCCAGCTCTCAGCCCCTGGCCTTCTCTGAAGAGCCTGCTCCCAGGGCAGGGCGCCCCCACCCCCAGGCAGAAAGTTCCGCTCCCATACCTTTCATCCCTCTCCCCCCTGGATTCTGGTGTGCAGGGACGCTCACCCCCTTCCTCTGACTGTCCCGGTGCCACATGTGGGCCCTCCATACCCCCGGGTCACAAGAGGGCCTGTGTGATGGTGGCAACAATGACCGTTCCTTTCTTCTGTCCTTGGCTGTCTTCCGGGACCTAGTAAACAAGAAAGGTAGGAGTCCTTCCGTCTCTGCACATCTCCCTGCACATGCTGGGTTCAGCAGGGAGGGGTGGTGCTTCTACCAGAAGCCGCCTGGCCTCCGCTTGCAGCAGCAAACCATCCGTCCGGTCAGCTCAGCCGAATCGGGGGCTGGAGAACCGGTCCCTCACTGGGTGAGGCGGAGGCTCTGCCGTCGTCTGGGCAGTTTGACCATGTGCCCTCTCCACGGGTGCCCCTTCCCGCACGTAGCGCAGCCTTCTGAGGAACTGGCTGGGGGGGGCTCTGTTCTCCAAGCGGAGAATACGCACCGCCCAGCAGTGGGGAGGTGTGTCCGGAGCCCACACTGCTCTCGAATTTGCACAAGCCCGTCCTCCCTGGACACACCCCTGGCTTCTGCACAGCCGGGCCTGCAGTCTGCCTCAGACCCAGAGTGGGGCCAGGGAGGGAGTCTCTGCCCAGCGAGGCGCCGCCTTCCCGTCCCTCCTTGGCTGCTCTGGTCATTCACCAGTGGTGGCCAGGCACCTGGGGCCCAGCCCCCTGTGATGTTTGCGTATCTTACATGTCATGTGCATGTGTCCTCCTGGTGTCCCGCTGGCCCGGCAGTGGTGTCCTCGGACCCCCTCCTCCCTCGCTACAATGCCCTGTGTCCACGCCACGCCCTGCCGTCTCCCCAACCTGCCCCTCCCCTGTGTTCTCTCATGTTGAGGCTGCTCTGCCCCTGGCTTCCCAGGATGAGATGGGGGCAGGGGCACCTGGACAAAGGGGGTCAGTGGCGACTGGCTGAACCTCATCCTCACCAGCCTGCTTCCTGCCTTTGCAGGAAAAGGACCCACTCCCCGTCCTCGAAGGATGAGCAGTCGATCGGGCTGAAGGACTCCTTGCTGGCCCACTCCTCTGACCCCGTGGAGATGCGGAGGCTCAATTACCAGACCCCAGGTAGGCAGCGCCCAGCTCACTACCCCCCCACCAGTCCAGGCTGCTGGAGTCTTCTCCAAGGGCCCCCCTCGGGCCCGTGCCCTGCTCCCCACCACCTTTTGAGCCTGACTCCGTATGCTTATTGACTCTGGACAGATCTCAGGAGCCTGACAGGTGCTCCAGGGCCCACCAAGGACCACAGCTGCTCAGCCCTGCCTGGTGTTTGCTCAGAGCCTCTGACATGCAGGCTTAGAACCCCCACGGAGCCTACCTCAGCACCACAGGGGGCTGGACAGTATCTGCACCTGGTCTCCCCATGTGCAGAAAAGGAGGAGGATGTTGGGGAGTTTTGTGTCCAAGGGTGCTGGTGTCTGACCCCTCCTGGAGGCTGATCCCAGCCCAAGGTGTGGCCCCGACCCCTTCGGGATAGCTCAGCCTGTTGTTTCCCCCGTGGTTCTCTCCCTTGGGACACCAGTGCCTCGGTGGCTGCCTCAGCCTGGGGTGCAGAGGACTGTGCTCGCCTCCCTGTCAAGGCCTTGCGTTCCGCACAGGGCGGGTTCTCGCTGCGCACCTGTGACGGGAGTGCTCGGATGACCGAGTCCGCGCACGTAGCCACGTGAAATTACCCCGGGCCCCGTGGTTTGAAACAGCCATTGTTCATGGTCTCTCGGTCTTGGAGTCAAACGCAGACGTGGAGATGTGCAGGCTCGGAGCTGGCGTCATGTCGAGCAGTGCTCGACAAACAGGCCAGTGAGCCTAGTAGCGGCCCACCGCCTGTTTTCTCTGAACATTGATTGGCACAGAGCCATGGTCATTCACGTTTGGGGTGCCCATGATTGCTCTGATGCTTCGAAGGCAGGCTTCCGCAGAGACTGTACGTCTGCCAGGGCCCAGGGCGCAGTCATTCACAGCCTAGTAGGTGGTGCTGGGATCTGGTGGGGTGACTGGGCTCCGGAGGAGCGTCTTGAGAGCGAGGGCCAGGCAGACCTCAGCGGCAGGCACAACCCAGATGTTCAAGTCAACTGGGCGCAGCGAAACTGGCCATGGGGGACAGGGTGGGGGGCATGCCAGCCCTAGGGGTACTGATCCCACCCAAAAAATCAAAGCTTGCTGCCATTGAGTCGATGCTGACTGATAGGACGTGGTATAGAACTACTCCTGTGGGTTTCCAAGACTTACGGTCTACGTAGGGCAGTAGAATAGTCTCGTCTTTCTCACAAGGAGCGGCTGGTGGTTTCGAACCCCTGATCTTACGGTTAGCAGCCCAGCTCATAACCTCTACACCACCAGAGCTCCCAACAGACGGGAAAAGGAGCTGCCTTTGGTGGGAAGGGCGTGTGCAGGCGGGCGGATGCTCAGAAGCAGCGCGAGCATCAGGTGGAAGTACCCAGTGTTCCTACGGCACTCGCGTTGGCAGCTGCAGGGCCTCGGGGAGAGCAGGCCATTAGACCACGGCCATTGGGGTCTGAGCTGAGGAGAACCTGGGGAGGCCAAGAAGAGCTTTTGGAGAGGCCAGAGGTCAAGATGTGGCATTGTGGCTGCTGCGTGGAGCTGAGGCTGGAGGGTTAGAAGGTGGGAAAGGGAGACTAGAGGCCAGGAGGACCTGGGTTGGGATGGAGGGAGGGCAGATGGCAGGCGCCAGGTGAGGCAGCCGAGGAAGCAAGGATGCCGGCTGCCTGCTGGTCCTCTGCCAGGATGGGGGGAAGATGGAGGACTGGCAGCGAACTGAGGGTCCCTGATGCTGAGCCTAGGGAAGGCAGAGCCGCAGGAGCTACTGATTGAGAGCAGGCAGGAGGCCATGTGGGACTTTGGCTTGGGCCTGTGATAGGCTGCCGGGGAGAGTGTCAGCGAGGTCCAGGAGCCAGAGTACGGCGGGAACACAGTGACATTGTGTGTGAGCACTGTCGGGGGACCTGAGATGTGGGTGGGGACTGCTGGCCGGTGGAGCCAGCATCCAGAGCCTGGGTGTGGGGTATGAAGCTGGGGGACAGGGGTGCAGGGATGCGTCTCCCTCTGCATCCTCGGCTAGGCCGCAAGGGGAGGCAGACAGTGGGGGAGAAGGAAAGGCACCGCTGGTGTTCTGGCCCCAGCTTCCTGGGGGGCTGGAACGAAGTAGTTAGAGCCATAGAAGGGAGTGGTGGCCTGGGTATGGGTGCTGAGCAATGGTGCCCACCCCACCCACCCCCATCCCCTGGGTTGAACCTAAAGTGTCTGCAGCTGGCAGGGTAGCCGGGTGGTCTGTCTTAGTGTTCACGATGCATGGGGGAAAGCAGGGGCATGGGAGGAAGGGTGGCCGTGATCTCTTGAGAGCAGGAGAGATGGCGGATGGAGGCCGTCAGTCGTCAGTGCAGGTCATGGCGATCTGGGGGGAAGCCTGTGGCAAGAGTCCGAGAAGGACCCCATTAGTCTCTGCCAGTGCGGAGGTAGAGAGCTCAGGCTACCAGCAGGGAGAGGCGACCCCGTGACAGCAGCAGGCTTGGCAGAGGACACACTGAGTATCCACTGAACTGGAGACAGAGGAGGGTGGAAGGGAGGATGGCAGGACTCGGAACAAGCTGAGGGTTTGCTCACACCCGAGCTCTGCAGGCAGCCCTCGTTCATACTTTAGTTTTCACCCACAGTGAAGCTGAAATGAACAGAACAGCTAGAAAGTACCTGTCTGTCTCTCGTGGAGGTGGCCTGTCTTTTCTTTTACTAAATGGTTCTAAAATAGCACAGACCAGATACAGCAGCATCGAGGTGGGGGGGGAGGGGCACCTCTGGAGTTGGGCAAGGTGGCCCTGTTCTGTGAGAGGCAGAAAGGACTAGTGGGTAGAACCTGCCCTGCAGCTTCCGGCCCCCCCTCCCCACATCCCCTCTTCCTCTGTCAGCCCCTTCTGAGCCCCCATGGCCCCCTCCCCACCTCGCCCCACACCCACAAGCCTCATGTGACGGCAACGTGGCCCTGCGACACTAACAGGCTCTCTTCTCTTGCCCCACCGTGTTCTGTTCTGTTTCCTCTGCAGGTTCCAGTGCCCCCAGTTGTCCGAATATCTCAAGTTAGTTTCAAAGTTCCCGTGCTTGGGGGATACTCTGGCTTCTGTGTGTTTCCACGTGGTCCTCGACTTCTTTTCACGCCCTTGCCTCCCTCCTCCCCTGCCCCCACATCACCTCCTTGTCACGACGCCTTTTCCGGCAGCCACGTCCATACATACTACACGCACACCCCACCCCACCCCACCCCCTTGTCCTTTGCTTTCCCGTCCTACCTCTTCCTCTCCTCGTCTCCTCCACTACTGCCCTTTCTCTCTCCTGCTGACCTCTCTCTCTCTCTGGTCTGTCTGATGCCCCTTTCTCTGTGCCCCCTGCCCCGTCACTCAGCCTCTCACGTCGCTCGACCTCTGCCCCGTGTCTTTGCATCATAGAGACTCCATTCCCCTGCTCGGGCCGGGGACCATGATTACACCAGGTCTCTCCAGAGGCCACTGGAGCCGGTGAGGGGCAGGAGGGCTGCTCACAGACCAGGCAGTGGGGCGGGAACAGGCCGAAGAGCCCCCTCTCCTCCACCCCCAGAATGTCAGGTGGGCTTCGGTCCTGCCTCAGCCTGGGAGAGTGGAGGCCCCTCCCTGTGGCGCTGCGCCCATCAGGCAGGCCCTGATGACACCACTCAGCCCCTTGAGCTGGACTGGTCACCTCCTTCTGACCCCCTCCCCCACCCTCCAGCCATCGTGTGCTCCGTCCGCCACCCTGCCGCCGCATGTGCTGCTGTCTCCATGCCAACAGTGTTCACACGTGTTCACATGTGCACATACATGCATTGGGGCTGGCTCTGCCACCACCCAGGCTACATGCTGACTGCCCACCACCCGTACCCCACTCTCCGCAGGTATGCGAGACCACCCGCCCATCCCCATCACTGACCTGGCAGACAACATCGAGCGCCTCAAAGCCAACGATGGCCTCAAGTTCTCCCAGGAGTATGAGGTGAGATGCCATGGCCCGGTCCCAGGTCCGGGCGCAGCCCCCTGACAGCTTCCGTGCTGTCCCAGGTGGGCTTTAGGCTCCTCGGGTGCTGGGCCGGGGCAGGGCCCTTCTGAGCAGAGCTCCCTCTGCTGGTCATCTCAGGAGGTGCTGTGAAAGGCTTTGCATGCCTGCATCTGGATGTACTGACCATGGGTGGGTGACGAGGGGTGAGGGACACACAGACATAGCTCAGGAGGAATGACCCTCACGCCGGCATTTGTCAGGTGGGACCGAGCCAGCACCAAGCAAGGCACTTTCCACCCATGCACCCGTCCAGCAAGCCCCCACAGCCCTGTGCAGTGGCTTGTGATAATGGTCTCATCCTACAGTGCAAGAAACTAAGGCTCAGAGAGGGAAAGTAACTCACCCAAGGTTGAACAATTGGTGGAGCCAAGAGAGTGAAGGGTCAGGCTTGGACCCCCTGCACCTCTCTGTGGCCTGGACACCTGCTGCTGGACCACAGACTTAGCGGTGCCCCCTCAGTCTGGGCTCTGAGGGTCTCCACTGGACCCGTGCTGGGGTAGGGGATGACTCAGGATGCCCCCGGACCGCTCAGTCAGCTCCAGAAATGGTGTGTCAGAGACAGTGGTGATCCTCTCGTGTGAGCGGAGAACAGGTCACCCCCTTTCAGGTCCGCTGACCTCCCTGAACTGCGTTCAGGATTTGCGTTTGGAGGAAGCAGCTGAGAGCCAGCCAGGTGCCTGCCCAAAGAGGAGAGGGAGCGTGTTGAGCCAACAGCTGGCCGTGCTGGCCTCCACGTACTGAGCACTCGCAGGGCCTGCTTCGCAGGAGGCCATGCCGAGGGGTAACGAAGCTTGCAGGCCAGACTCCCTGCCTTCAGCTCTTCACTGGGCAGGGAAGGCTTCCGCGGGCTTCCACTCAGACTGGCCCAGCCCTGGCTCCTGCCCCAGGCTCACTGCCCTGGGCCTGGCAGCCTCAGCTCACAACGTCCCTCGCCCCTCCTGTCTGAGCCGGCCGGTAACACCCTTCTCCCAGAAGCCACCAGCGCTGCCCTGGGCTTTTGAGCTCTTCTTGTCTGTGTGTCCCTCCTGGGCCGGGGCTGTGGAGTCAAAGGTCTCCTCCACCGCTGGCATGCCGGCGAGCAGCGGCACAGCTGCAGATGGCTAGGGTGGACTCAGTCTTCCGACGGGACAGCACGCAGGACAGGTAGACGGCAGCCCCGCAGTCGGAGAGCTGGGCGCGCTGCTGTGCTGGTCTCCTGCAGCTCATGCCGCTGGTCTACTGGAGGGCGGGCAGGCTGGGCCAGGGCTGAGGACATCGGCTGCGTCCGTCTGTAAAGCAAGGTTGGCGGTAGAACCTGTCTCCTGAGGGTTTCCACACTTAAGAGTACTTAGAGCCTAGTTCTCGCTGGGCCTTGGCTGCTGCCCGAGGCCACAGGCAGAGTTGGGGAAGCAGTAGGGGATGGTCAGGCAGGCCCTCCTGGTAGAAGGGTCACTCCGACTGCTGGACAAGGAGAGTGTGGGCGTGTGAGCTCTGTCGAGTGGGGTGCCCTGGGCCACACAGTGGTGGTAGGCTGGGGAGCCGCCAACATCTAGTCACCGGTCACTTCCTGAGGGCAGCCCGTGTGAACGGGGAAGCATCATGCACGTGGCCTGGGAGAGGGTCTCCTCTGTTACCCGGGCTTCTGACACAGCCCTTCTCACCGGGAGACCTGGTGACCGAGGGGAGGAGGCACCAAAGGGTGAATGAGAAGAACGTGCAGGTGCTGGCCTGGCCTCCTGGAGGGGAGGGAGGGAGGAAGGGGTGCTGTTGTCTGAGGGGCATCCCCGCAGGAGGGGCAGCTGATGAACCCACCTGTTGAAGAGTTGAGATTGGGGTCCCCAGCTGGGGGTGTCAGGCTAGACTCGGGGCAGGGCTGGTGTGTGGAGGTCAGTGGACGTCCTGAGAGCCCCTCTCCGCGGGGAAGACCGTGGAGTGAGAAGAGGGCTCCAGGGTGCACAGGCCCAGAGCTGTGTGGGGTCTGGGCTGCAGAGCTGGCCACCTTTGGTAGGTGGGCGTGGGTCTGGGGACCTTACCTGCCCCCTGGCCACTACAGGGCAAGGGGACCTGGCCTCATAGTGAAGGAGTCAGTGGTCCCTTACCTTCCTGTTGGACAGGGGTACAAGGGGTCAGAGCAGGGAGGTGTGAGCCCCACCTGGAAGGATGGGTCTCCCAGGGCTACCCGTCGGCTTCAGTTCTGACCTCTCCCCACCCCCACCTCTCCGCCCCCACAGTCCATTGATCCCGGGCAGCAGTTCACGTGGGAGAATTCCAACCTGGAGGTGAACAAGCCTAAGAACCGCTACGCAAACGTCATCGCCTACGACCACTCTCGGGTCCTCCTTACCTCCATCGATGGTGAGCCACCCCAGTAGGCACGGAGGGTGGGGGCCAGGGGGAAGGACTGGGGGCTGAGCCAGTGGAGTGCACCCACGTCCCTTCTCATCCACAGGCGTGCCCGGGAGTGACTACATCAATGCCAACTACATCGACGGCTACCGCAAGCAGAATGCCTACATTGCCACGCAGGGGCCACTGCCCGAGACCCTGGGCGACTTCTGGCGCATGGTGTGGGAGCAGCGCACGGCCACTGTGGTCATGATGACGCGGCTGGAGGAGAAGTCCCGGGTGAGGCCAGGCACCCCCGGGAAGGGGTTCCTCAGGGCTTTCCCTAAATGCTTCCGTTTTCCTGGGGCGTTCATGCTGGAATGACTCCCCGACACTGGTTGGTTTCAGGGGTGTTGGCATGTGCCCCAGATGCTGTTTCTGGGGTGTCAACATGCCCCTCAGATGCCAGTGCACTCCTAGGAAAGCAGCAGGCTCTAGCAGGTGTGGGCATTTTCAGCCCCTCAGTTGCTGGCCTGGGCCCGGCTGCTCACATGTCCCCCAGATGCTGGTGTGTTCCTGGGGCACTAACAGCTCCTGAGTTAATTAGTGGAAAGAGCTGCTCTTATCTGCTTTGCACTGCGAAGCACTGGCTGGAACGTAAAATTTACAGAGCTTGAAAATGGCGCATAAACGTTATGGGTAAATTTGGCAGAAAATGTGCCTGGTGCGATCTGGTCATGAATAAATAATTTTCAATTACGGCCCTCATTCCACCAGCTAGGGCGGGTGGAGTGGGGTGGGGGAATGCGCAGCCCAGGTCGGACGGGGCATGTTGGGGTGGTGGGTCTTGGCATTCAGGACTGGGGCCCTGCATCCAGGTAGGCTGTGCCCTCTGCCCTGTTCCTGCCTTGGCTCCCTTCCCGAGGGAGCCCTGAGCACCCTCGAAAGCTCATCACCGCAACCTGCCCGGCTCGTCCCTCTGCAGGTAAAATGCGATCAGTACTGGCCAGTCCGTGGCGCTGAGACCTATGGCCTCATTCAAGTGACCCTGCTGGACACGGTGGAGTTGGCCACCTACACTGTGCGCACCTTTGCGCTCCACAAGGTAGGCCCCACCTCCATCCCCCAGCCCCCAGTGACAGAGGCCGGAGCAGTGGATGGAAGGGGACACCCCCCACCCCATGTGTTGGAGGTGGTGTGTGAATTCCGCCCCCTCCCCAGAGCGGCTCCAGTGAGAAGCGGGAGCTGCGGCAGTTCCAGTTCATGGCCTGGCCAGATCACGGCGTGCCCGAGTACCCGACGCCCATCCTGGCCTTCTTGCGGCGGGTCAAGGCCTGCAACTCCCTGGACGCAGGGCCCATGGTGGTGCATTGCAGGTGGGGGCTTCGGCGCGCCCCAGGGAGGGCGGTGGGGGTGCGGGGGCGCTATGCCCATGCTGAACCTGTGTCCTGCAGCGCGGGCGTGGGCCGCACGGGCTGCTTCATCGTCATCGATGCCATGCTGGAGCGGATGAAGCACGAGAAGACGGTGGACATCTACGGCCACGTGACCTGCATGCGGTCGCAGCGGAACTACATGGTGCAGACGGAGGACCAGTACGTGTTCATCCATGAGGCGCTGCTGGAGGCCGCCACCTGCGGCCACACGGAGGTGCCCGCCCGCAACCTCTACGCCCACATCCAGAAGCTGGGCCAGGTGCCGCCCGGGGAGAGCGTCACTGCCATGGAGCTGGAATTCAAGGTGAGCCTCCTCTAGGGAAGGCCTGGCTGGGGCCCGGAGGCCAGTCCCACCCTCCAGGCCTGACTGACACACACACACACACACCCGCCCTCTCGCCAGTTGCTGGCCAGCTCCAAGGCCCACACGTCCCGCTTCATCAGCGCCAACCTGCCCTGCAACAAGTTCAAGAACCGCCTGGTGAACATCATGCCCTACGAGCTGACCCGCGTGTGCCTGCAGCCCATCCGGGGCGTGGAGGGCTCCGACTACATCAACGCCAGCTTCCTGGATGGCTACAGGTAGAGCGCCCTTCCCGGCTGGCTGTGGGGAGGGGCGGCCCGCAACTGGGCAGCTCCAGCAAACCTTGTCCTGCCTCCCGCAGACAGCAGAAGGCCTACATCGCCACACAGGGGCCCCTGGCGGAGAGCACGGAGGACTTCTGGCGCATGCTGTGGGAGCACAACTCCACCATCATCGTCATGCTGACCAAGCTGCGGGAGATGGGCAGGGTGAGCAGGCAGCGCCCGTCCCCTTACCACCCCCACCCAGCTTCTCCCGTCCCTCCCCGCCTGGACATGCTGGCTGGGTCTTCTGTCCACAGGAGAAGTGCCACCAGTACTGGCCCGCAGAGCGCTCCGCGCGCTACCAGTACTTCGTGGTCGACCCGATGGCTGAGTACAACATGCCTCAGTACATCCTGCGGGAGTTCAAGGTCACCGATGCCCGGGTGAGTGTGCACGGGCAGGGGAAGGGCGATTGCATGCACAGTGCCTCCTTTCAGGCTCCCGGAGCACACACAGGAGACTCGGGGAGTGTGTGTCTCTGGAGGGGGCTGCCGGTCAGTGCACTCACCCTCACCCTGTGCGCCCTGCCCCCAGGATGGGCAGTCGAGGACCATCCGGCAGTTCCAGTTCACAGACTGGCCGGAGCAGGGCGTGCCCAAGACGGGCGAGGGCTTCATCGACTTCATCGGGCAGGTGCACAAGACCAAGGAGCAGTTCGGGCAGGACGGGCCCATCACGGTGCACTGCAGGTGGGGCTGCCCCTCTGCAAGCAGGCTTGGGCGGGGGTCGGGGGATGGTCCTGGCAGACATCCATCCTCACCCAACCCCGCCCCCGAGCAGCGCCGGCGTGGGTCGCACCGGGGTGTTCATCACACTAAGCATCGTCCTGGAGCGCATGCGTTACGAGGGCGTGGTCGACATGTTCCAGACCGTGAAGACCTTGCGCACGCAGCGCCCCGCCATGGTGCAGACGGAGGTACAGGACCCCTGCCCGTTCAGTTACGCCTGGGAAAGCCCTAGTTCTGAGGGTTTCAACCCACCAGCTGACCCTAAAGTGCTACCCAGACAACTGCGATGGGTGGGGGCAGGGCGGGCGGGTGTGCTGTGCCCCCACGGACCAGCCCGCCCTGTCCCTGCAGGACCAGTACCAGCTGTGCTACCGCGCAGCCCTGGAGTACCTCGGCAGCTTTGACCACTATGCAACGTAACTACCGCCCCTCTCCTCCGCTGGCCCCACCCCAGGGCGGGGCTCCGGAGGGGACCGCTCCTCTGAGCCATACCGACCATCGTCCAGCCCTCCCGCACAGACGCTGTCGCGGGCAGAGCCTAGCCCGCCAGGATCACAGCGTTTCAGGAACATTGCCACACCAAACGGAGAGCCCAGACCCCGGGGCAGCGGGCGGCTAGCCAAGGTGGAGGCCACCGCCGCTGGCGCCTCTGCCACCTCTCCGACCGCGCCACCACCGCGTTTCTCATGCTTCTTCTCATGGGGTGGGATGGGCGGAAGCCCTCTGGGTTTTTATACATTCAGTGGGATAGACTGAGGGATCCTAAGCTCTTCCCTCGGATTTCCTTTTGCAAATCCTTCGCTGCGCAGCGGGCCAGCAAGAGAGGGTCCCGAGTGCTTCGTTTTCCTTTCTGAATTCGCAGTGGGCCCTTTCTCTGTACGGCGCCCGCTGATGACCCGGAATACAATGTGGGAAGGACAGAGTCTGGCCTCGTGGGTGCGGGGCCAGGAGGTGACACTGGTCCCTGCTTTTCCTGCCCTCCCAAGAAGATCCTGTCTCGTCCAAATGCAGGGAAACACGCTCTTCTTTCCTTTGTTAAGCCTTGTTTAGTTTTCCTTCAGAGGCTTTTTCTGAGGCCCCACAGACAGTGGCGGGCAGGGGGCGGGGGGGATACAGGAGACGCTCACCCCCAGTGGTCGGTCTGTCCCAGTGCGTACCTGACATTCACAGCCCAGACCAGAGCCGGGTCTGGGGGCCTGTCTAGGCCATCCTCATCACCATCGTGTTTGCAAAAGTTAAAAGCAAAAACAAAACACACACACACACAAATCAACAGAGAAAGGAGAGTCATCTCCAGTCCTTACTTCCAGCCCCCCACAAGAGGGGCTGACTTGGGGCCCTGGGGCTCTGCCCATGGGGCCGCAGAGCCCTGCTTGGGTCTGTCCCCAGTGTTGCAGCACGGTGGGTTTGGGGGTCACAGGCCTGACTGCTGGCCTAGGAGAGTAGCACACGTCGGCGTGGCCGGCCCTTCCGGTCCAGGCCAGTGGGCCTGGGAGCACACGGCCGCCCTCAGAGGCGAGGTGGGGCCAGGTGCCTGGCTGCCCTGCTCCACAGCATTGTCAAACCCCAAGAAGCCTTCTTCCCCACCCCTTGGCAGTGCCCTCATAGCCAATGTGGCAAGACTACTGGACTCCTCTTCTCGGTACTGTAATCAACCCGTGCTCTCGGCCTGCTGAGGGGTGGGAAGAGGGCCTCTTCCTCTGGCAGCACTATCTAGGTAGGTAAGTGGGGGCGGGGAAGGGTGCATAGCTGGTGTAGCCAAGGGACTTGATGCAGACAGGGCCGCCTCTCGCTGGGGTCGGTCCGATCCACAATCCAGGGTTGATAATGTTGGATGAGACATTCATTTTTACCTTGTGGATGCTAGTGCTGTAGAGTTCACTGTTGTACACAGTCTGTTTTCTATTTGTTAAGGGGAAAAACTACAGCATCATTGCATAATTCTTGATGGTAATAAATTTGAATAATCAGATTTCTTACAAACTGGGCCTCTGTCTCAGCTCTTTCCGAATTAAGAGTGGGTGGCCAGCAGTAAGTGGAGGGAAGCACCTGGCCGCTAACCATGGGTACCGACCCAGAGGCGCTCGCAAACCCCCGTGGAGCAGGTTTCCTCTGCAGTGTGGGGTCCCCAGGGATCCGAATGGGCTTGGTGGCGGTGAGGTTTAGGATGAAAATGAGGCCCCCTCCCTTGTCTGGGGGCCTGGGTCTCATGGTGGCAGGGCAGGCTCCAGGCTGCTTGCCTTTAGCGAGGAAGTCTGCCGCTGAGGGCTGCGCCTGCACCCCTGCTAGGGAAACCCCCCCCACAGGTGACTGGCACCAGTTGAGCGTAGCCATCGCCTTGCTCTGCTCCTGCTTTGTCAGCCAGTGCCAGGACCCTGTGCCCTGCCCCTGGAGCGTCACCTTCCTTTCCCAGCCCCTCCAGAGAGCAACGGCCCTGAGCCTGCCCTCTGCCCTCCACTGCAACAAGGGAGGTGACAGTGGACCTGGGTTAGTAAGGACTTTGGTAACTTGTCCTGTAGGTACTGAACACCCAAATCTGCATGGCCCTCTGACCCTGGGATATCAGCTCATGGAGCCCAGCAGCCACTCCACAGACAAGTCCTGCCGTGTCAAAACACGCAGCCCCATTAGACAGGCCCAGCACTGAGGCACTGGATGCGTGGAGGCAGCGTCTGCACCTCCAAGAGGGCTCCTGGAGGTGGCGGGGCCCTGTCTCCTGCGTGTCTCTGGGTTGGCAAAGGGAGAAAAGCGTATCTTGAGAAGAAAGTGGCTTGGAAACAGGAAGAGACATCTTTTTAAATGATGGGAAGTCTGGTAAGACCAGAGAGGTGAGACTAGGCTGGGAGAAGCCAGGTCAAAGCAGCCAAGGTGCTAGGTCAGCAGTTCTCAACCTGGGGGTCAAATGACCCTTTCACAGGGGTCACCTGATTCATAACAGTAGCAAAATGACAGTGATGAGTAACAATAAAAATAATTTTATTAGGGGGAAAAAATGTTATGCCTGGGGTTCACCACCACATGAGGAACTGTATTAAAGGGCCGCACGTGGCATTAGGAAGATTGAGAACCACTGTGCCGGTGATTGTAAGATGGATCCAGGACATCTCTCGCGTTCAGTGACTGTCTCAGCCAAGGCCCCCAACACTCCCAGGCTAGCAGCCGTCCACTCCTGTTTCCTGTGCCCACGCCTAGCCCAGTGCGTGGCATGTTCCTGTTTGTGCTGCATTCTTGCTAGTGACCATTGTGAATACTGGTTGCTAAGTGAACGAGGGAGCTGGTGAGAGCTGAGTGTCCGGTTTCCCTGTGGAAACACCCGTAGGAAGTAGTCTCTGCAGAATTCCCGGAGAACCTCGCGCTCCCACGGGAATCAAAGGGCCAAGCTGGGGTGCACCTCCTTTTTGTCACCCCACCTCAGCCCGCCCTCCCATTCCCTCTCACCACTGCTGCACCCTGCTTCCAGGGCCCCCGTCAGTGCCTTACACCCCATCCGTCCACCCCCATTTGCAGTTGGGCCCCTCTTCCTCTGGCCTCCACGTTGAGCTAGCTCCAGCTCCTGCCTCCCCTCTTGGGCACCTGTTCCCTTCTCTGCCGCTGCTCTGTCCCGGGCCCTCGTCTCTTGCTGGGGCAACAGCCATCCTTTGTATCTGGCTCCCTGTCCCCAGGCCTGCCTGCTCTGGCCATTTTCAGCAGCCAGTGACTCTCCCGGCCTGGCAGGACCGAGGTGACCACGTCGTTGCCCTGTGGGAGCCCTGCCAAGCCTCTGTCAGCACAAACGCCTTCACGGGTTTCCAGCACTCGCCAGTTCTCTGCCACCTCATTACTCCGCAACCCCTAGCCCAGTGGTCCTACCATAAAGTCATTTTCATTGCTACTATTATGAACCGGGCAACCCCTGTGAAGAGGTCGTTCCACCCCCAAAGGAGTCGCAACCCACAGGTTGAGAACCGCTGCCCTAGCCAAATCCATTCTTTAAGTGCTCACCTCTGCACCGGCCTCGTCACCTCCTCTAGTCTTTCTTGCTGTTGCCTATTGTCAGGTCAGCTCCCTGGCCCTGTGCTATCTCGTGCTCATGGTCAGTGGTAACCTCTGGGTTTCCCTGGCTGCTGTCAGAAGCAGTTCACCAGGTCTTTCTTCCTAGCCCCTCTTAGAGAGCTCCGCTGAAACCGATTGAGCCTCTAGCAACTCAAGCTGGCTAGTTCCTGCTTAAATACTTTTAGGTCTCGGCTGAAACAGTTCCTTCAGAAAGCATTCTTTGCCTCCCTAGATGAAGTTAGGGGACCTTGCTGTAATAGCCATTACGTCATGTAATCCCTAGAACAACATAGGGAACTGGTCCTTTTACACCTGCCTTGTGGATGAGAACATCAGGACACAGCCTCCTGAAGGAGCGTTGGCCACGTGGGACCCTTCGGGGAGCTGAGCAAAGACCTCTGCCCTTTTTGTGTTCCAGTAAGTGGGGACGGACACAAGAGGACACTGTATCCACACACTGTCTGAGGCGCCCTGCTGGCACAACGGGGAAGCAGTGGGCTGCCAAGCAAAAGGAAGGCGGTTGAAACCTCCCTTGGGCTCCACGAGAGGAGACAGGCTGTCTGCTTCCAGAAAGATGGGCAAGCCAGGAAGTGTTCTGGAGCAGTTCCACCCTGTCCTTCGGCTGGCTCTGAGGCGGCGGCAGCTTTGATGCCTAGTTAGCTAGAAAGTGATGGGGGGAGGTTTGATATTAATTAGGGGGTTCGGGGGAAGCCTCGTTGAGAACACGAGGAAAAGACTTGAAACCTAACCATCTTGGAGAGGGACAGCGCAGGCGGAGCCGCTGGAGCAAAGGCCTGGGCGTGGCCCGCTGAGATGGCAGCGGAGCTGTGACGCTGAGCGAGCGGGTGAGGGAGGAGGCAGGGATGCCATCAGAGGGACGCTGGCAACCACTAACTCGGACAGACACCCAGGCAGGCGAGGCGACAAGTGGCCAGGTGCTGGTAAGGCGATTGTCCTTGAGCCATAGCTGGTCAGACCTGCTACCAAGACCAGAGGCGCCATGCTTGGCCCTCTGCCTTTGGCCTGAGCATGTGGACAGATGGAGCTGGTGCCCCTGGGCAGTGCAGGCATGCTCCCTTGGCTGCTCACCCGAATGCTTGGAGGTACCAATCTACTTAGAGATGCCTCAGGAGAAAGGCCTGGCAAACTACTTCTGACAAGTCAGCTGTTACAAGCGCTACCGAGCACGTGAGGTAGCCCCGGCAGAGGTGATGCCCGGAGCTCGGCTGCTCGCCTCCAACTGGAACTAGAGTCCAGCGCGGGTGAGGGGGGTCATACACCAAAAGGCTTGTGAGGAGTGGGTACTGTTGTTCCCATGTTCTACAAAGAGTTAATAAACTACCAAAAAGAGAAGTAGAACTGTCTAATTCATATTTCCTTAAAGGAGCCCTGGGGGTATCCTGGGCTACAAGTTGGGCTGTTTGCTGCCAGGTCAGCAGTTCAAACCCACCAGCTGCTCCACTAGAGGACCATGCGGCCTGCTCCTGTAGAGTATTCTGCACACACACACACACTGCCTGCCCCTCCCCCCAGTGCATGCACACACACGTGTAGATTGACAGCCCGGGGAACCCTAAGGCGCAGTTGTGTTCTGTGCAGCGCTGTAGCCGGTAGCTGGAGTCTCAACACAGGCTGAGTTTATAGGATTAAAGGTCCTCCTCCATCCTCCGCCCCCAGGCCCCTGGATAAGGGCACTGTTCACAGTTTAGTGGCAATTGTGTCCGTTTCAATTAACATTGGAGGGGACTTCCAAAAGTCTAAGAAACATTCCATTAACTTATCATTCCATTTTCCACGGACTTTTTGAAGTCCCCTCATCACAAGCGCACATAAGATTTAATCCCACAAGAACCAAATGATTCATACCTCCTCACAAATAGCTTAAAATACAGCGCGGCCTTCTCCCCACATCACTGCTACATACCATTCATTCAGTTACAGATGCGCCATAGTTTAAAAATGATTATTAATAGCTTTTTTATTGAGATGTGTGAGATACATGTGACAAAGTAGTTAAAAGAAATTCCAACAGTTGTTTTTTTTTTTACTTGCAACAGTCTTGGAAACAATTTCAAATAAAAAGCGTGTTTATTATGTGCCAGCTACTTCACCACGGCCATCGAGTCGGTGCCGGCTCAGCGATGCAGGACAGGTAGAACTGCCCTGTGGTCTCAGCCTGTCCGCACTACTTGGGCGGAAAGTCCCATCCTCCTCCCGTGGCTAGTGGTTCCGAACTGCTGACCTTGCCGTTGGCAGCTCATCCTGCGACCGCTCTGCCTCTTCTCCGGCAGTCTGGAAGGGTGCCACGTGGAAGGTAGGCTTTTCCCTCTCCGGTCCAGTTTCATTCCCTGTGGATGGGGTGGTTCTGATTGTCGTTCTTTGGGAGGTGGGCATCCCTCCCATCTTGAAACCGGTGGCCCCTTGGCAGAGATCTCCTGGCTCCAGGACATAAACTGTGGGACTCAGGCAGGTGGCGGACCTTCCTCTTGGGCTTCCTGAGGACGTTAAGAGACACTGTTGCTTTTCATTCTGACAGCGCTTCCCTCGTCACTGTAAACTGTTATTTTCAGCCTCCAGGAGAGGGAGGGCTTCAAAAGTTTATAGGAAAAATTAAAAAAGTTTGGTGGGGGGGAGTGTATAGAAAAAGTTCCATGAACTTTTTGAAACTCCCGCCTATTTCTTGATTTATTACTTTGAAGTGATCTGACAGTGTGTTCTGAAAAGTGAAGAAATTGGCTCTTATTCCCTCTTCTCCCTCCTCCGGTTACCACCTTCTTATGTTTCATGGTCTATTCTGTCACATAAATATGGTGCAGTCTTCTAAAATTTAAAAACAAAATGTTGGAATTTTATGTGTTTGAAAAACCTTTAAAGCACCCTTCTCAAACCAGCCCTCGTTGTTTCTGACTTTCCTTCACTCCTGGCTCAGACTCCGCTGGGCTGTTCCTGGT